TTTCAGGCAGTAGTTTCTGGCTGGACAGTCAGTGCTGCACTGAGGGTCACAGGAGTTTGGTTATTGGGTCAAAAGTGTAAATAATATAGGTGTTAATTCTCTGTTGGACTGTTTAGCTTTAAAAGACCTTGAAACTAGCTGGATTCACTTCCATTTTTCATTTAGCTGGTGGCTAGAAGTGTTGCAGAACTCTCTGTACTTTAGATAAGATTTAATAAACAACCAAGTCCAAACATGAGAAATCCATCTCCTTCATGTTTTTAATCCTGACTCTGAGTGAAAACAGAAGAAAAAGAAGATAGGCCTCTGATTAAGTGGTGCAGTTACCACGTTCACGAATTCATACATGGATTTCCCTTTTGCTACCTCAACAACACTGCAGAGTTTCCCAGCAAGCACAACAAAAAGCTGACAGGGTGAAAAGAACCTCTTGCTTTTTGATTTAGTCAGCTCATTTCCACTGCCTTCCTGAATATACTCACTGCTTCTTTACAGGAAATTAAAATTGAAAAATGAAAAGCAGCAGCTTTTCCCTGTTGGTGCCTGACACATCCAGAGCTGCTACACCTGACTGAGTGCTCACCCTGAGTGGTCAGGGCTCTCTGCAGCTGCAAAGGTGAAACAGGAGGATTTTCCTCTTTTTTCTTTCTATTGTAGATTGTACCTATGCTGAAACTTCCTCCTGGCTGCACCATGGAGAGGAGAGAAGGGACAGAGCTTGATTTGATAATGACTACTTTTGACCAAAAACCTGAAATCTTACTGAGGTGGCTTTACACTGAGCAGAGGGATCACTGGGCTCCTTTGTTCTAATTTGCCATGGGGGTTTGGTCACTTTGGGGTTTTGGAGAGCTTTTTGGCTTTTGATGAAGCCGGTGGCAAGAGATAGAAAAAGGCTTAAAATTCAGTTTTATGATGTAATGACAAAAGTCTGCGTGGCTCTGTATTAAAACAAGCAGGTTAAAGGTGCTTGTCTCCCTACAGAGACTCTCACAGATTTCAGAGAAGCTGACAAGTACCAGCTGATTCATATTGCTCTTACTAGACGTTGCCTGACACAGAACAGTTCTGCCTTGTTTACCAAACAGAATTTCCCAGTGAAGTATTCCAGAAATGCAGTACATGCAAATCTTAGAGACAGTGACTAATTACTACTATCATTATTTCCTTGAAGATAAGAAGCTTTCACTTTCAAATTGCTGGCTTATTTGCTGAATACTGTTGGCTTTAGAGGCCGTGATGAGTCTTATTACTTCAGGTAAAGTTAAATATAGCAATAGATATTAGTATAGCACATATAGTAGATAGAGTTTATAGCACTTAGATAATAATATTAATTCTTCCAAAGGCCAGGACACAGGAAAAAAAATCAAAGTAATATTGCTTTTAATTTGATATAGCTGGTGTGTCACATTCTGCCTTTCTTGAGCTTTGAAATATTACAAAAGCAAAGGAAGCATTGCTATATGAAATATTGCAGTGATAAAGGGGAAATGTCAATGGAGACACCCAAGACATCCAGCACTGCAAAAAACTTACCAGAATTTATATGGGATGCTGCCATCTTGACAAGATGCTGATGAGAAAATACAGTAACACAGCTCTTAGTTAAAAGCACAAAACGCTGGTGGGTTGCAGCACAGCTGTAAAGGCAGTGAATCAAGCTGCAAGCCTGAAAACCTGCACAGATGGAATGCCAGGAATGGATGCTTTAATTGTGTTTGCATGTTGAATATTGTGTTTTGTAACTGCCTCCCTCCAGCAGTCCCTTCAGAAAGGATTAACAGCACAGCTACTTGTTTATACTTTATTTTCTTTAACATAAGGCATGGAAAACTCAAGAGTGCCAACCTGTGCTGCTTCCTGGACATTTCACAGGACTGAGGTTGTCTCTTTCTCCCACAGAGGTTGAGGAAGTGAGAGCCATGTGCAGTGTGCAGTATAATTCCTTTCCCATGTACAAATAAAGCTTAAGCCAAAGGTTGATATAACAGCAAGATCCAACACATGGTGAGGATCTCCTTATTTTGTGTTAGGAAGAAGTTTGGGTCCATGAATGGGGAATTTTGTTTGGTGGGGGCTTCTTTTTTTTTTTTAATTTTTTTAATATATATATAAATATAATTTGTCCTATATATATTTTACATATTTATTTATAGATATGTGTATATATGTATATATTTCTGTCTGTATGTAAATATACACACACATATAAATATACACATATATACATATGACTAGGTCTGACAGTCCAAAATCAGAATTTCCATGCCAGATAAGACTGTGAAAATCTTATTATCCCTATGAGCAACATGCAGGAGTATTACATCCTGCCTGCAGGTGTAAATCTGATAAATCACTGACAGGTGAGTAACTGTACAAAGCTTTTCCACGGAGAGCTGGAGCCCTGCTGTTGACAGAAGCAGAGGAGTCTCCATGGCTGAGTTCAATTTGCTTCTACCTCTATTACTTCATGCTGATTCTCTGGAGTTAATATCTCCACCCAACTATAAAGAGCTGTTTGAGTTCAATGTTGAATTAAGCAACCAACAGCATCCAACTCCCATTGCCAATGGGCACTGACTAATAAATTTTCCAAAAGCTGCTCAAAGTCAAGGCTGTAAGTGCTGGTTAGGAAACGAGGGGCAGCCACTCCTCTGGATGTTCAGGCCACGTCCATGGGCCCATCTTTCTGTGCCAACACATCCATTACCTCTATTAATAGAAAAGGAGAGGGAAAATAGAATATTGAAAGAAGTATTGGTGTGCAGGAGTGGGGGATAACCTGTTCAAATACATTTAAAATCAACATTTAATTCTCTTTCCAGCCTCTGCATCCACAACTATTGACAAACCACATTGTGCTTTCCCTCACTGCACTCCCTGCTCTCCCTTCACACCAGGTCACCAGGACTGATGGCAGCAGGGACAACCAGTGAGAGTTAAACCCACAGGGTGTCTCCTCCTCAGATCAAAGCACTCCATGCAAAATAGTTCAGCAAAGAAAGCTGAAGCAGATTTTGGAGTGCACTTAAATTGGCAGCAACTTTTTATTAGCCTGCAGATAAAGCAACTACATTGTATTGGAGTTTTTGAAGTTTTTTTTTTAAAGAAAGGAACATCTTTGTTTACAGACATTTTTGTTTATAGAACAAGCTTGTTTTCAACGTTTTCTTAAAAATGTAAGGACTAGTCCAAAGCATAGTTCTGGGCTGCATTTGATTAGGGTTCCTTCCTGCTATGACAGATAAAAGGTCACTCTGTTCAACTATGTGCTGCTGAAGGGGGTTTTGGTAAAATCTCAGCAAAGGGAGTAGCAAGGATATGTTTTGGTTTGAAACAGAGGGGAAAAAACACCTTTTCCCTTACCTGCATTTTCAAAAGCTCCTCAGATTGTCAGTGCTCTGGAGAGAAGCTGGGGAGTTGCACAATCGCCACAAAAAGCTCCAGTGCAGTGTGGGGTGAACTTATGTGGCCTACAAATATTCTTGGAATGGTTTGAGGGTTTCCAGTCCTGCTATAAAACTACACCCTCACTGACCCACCCCCTTTTGCCAGGCACACAGACAGGCCTTGGTTCAAGTTCAGAAAATAAACACAAGCAAGTGACATCAGGTTCAACCACTAGAAATAAATAGTTCAAATACCAGGGAGAGGAGTGTTGTCTCCCTCTCTGCAGCAGTGGTATCCACTCCCTTTTAATGACTTCTGTGTGTTCTGCAGTTAGACAAGGCAGACTGGAAAACCTCTAAAGGAAGGATTTAGACCTTCCAGCACAGCTTCCCTTCTCTGATCACTTTGCACAGAGCCCATCAAAGCAATGCACAGGCACACAACTTCTCAACTGAAGCTCAGGAACTGCTGTGTGCAGAAAAGGAAACATGAAATGGAATAGGAAAGGAAAGGAGAACTTGCAGGAAGAAGAACAAAAAGGCCTGAGCCATCTGCCAGATATCACATCTCATGTCACTCCCACACACTGCAATCTGTCATGAGTTCAAGTGTTGGAAGAAAATTTGGGTTTCTTCCAGGAGAGCAGCAGGGTGAGGATCACAGGAGTGCCTGCAGCCAGTGGAGATCACTGTCAAGGTCTATCCTGTGCTGAGGAAAAAGTATCCCTCAGGAATAGGAATTGCCATGGCAATCTGATCCTTCAGAAGTTTAACAACATTGACATAAAGGATCTGCAACCAACCACTGAAGGCAGTTACCTGTGTCCTCAGATTTTCCTCCAGTGAGAAAATGGATTGGAAGTGACCCAATACAGGCTCCAGCTGCAGATTCAAATTTGTTCAAAAATGCTGGTATTTGTATGGTGTCTGCAAGCTTGATCATGGGATCATTTCTTTTTCATAGCTAGCAAAAGATCTAGTGAGAACTTTTCCTCCTGTCCTGTCTGTTTCACAGTGTGAATACAAGCCTGTTTCTTGTGGTATTTTACAGAATCTACACACCAGAAACTCCACTCCTAAATAAGAGCTACACTCTGAGGCTGAGCTTCCTTAAGTGCTTCCCCAACTGCTTTCCCTAGAGCCTCTCTTCGATTAAAAGAACACAACTCTGAAGTTTTAAAAGCCACCATCACACCACAGGTGCCTCAGTGTCCAAGCCACCACTCCTACCCAATATCAAAGCACTTCAGATGGTCAAGAAAAAACAGGAAAATATACTAAGATACCAAGAAAAATACTCATCACCAGGCTTGTACCACTGTACTGGCTGTTCCAGGTGCAGTCCAGGTTTTCAACCCACACCTTCCTTCAGAAGACTGAAACTACAGGGTTTTCTCATCTCGGCTCCCCATCAGCAGGGGATTCAGGTGAACTACCAAGAAATTTGTCACTACTTGTTACTGAGCTCTATTATTGACATTCAGCATCTTCCATGGGAGAAAGAGAGAAGCTATCAGCAAACCAAGCAGCTGGGCCACACATCTGCATTTGAATGCAAAAATTCTACGTGTCCAGACACTCCAGAGAGAACCACTCACAGTGCACAGGTTAATTCTGAGTACTTTTAATGGACTGTACAGATTTCCACACCTGGTTTTGTGAAGGACATTATATTCCACATGAACATGATACCATCTGGCAGATGAACACTTCTGCCCCCGATGAAGCAACAAGTGGCCCCATAAGGCTCTTGGTGATAACTTCTCAAGAAGATGTATCTCTTGGATAATTACAGTATGGAAAAACTCTCGATGAAAAAAGCAGGATGCACTCCAAATTTTGCTCCCAGGCCTCTGGAATGATTTTCACAGACACCAGTAGGATCACACTGCCATGGAAGGAGCTTCCAATAACACGACGTTGACTGACACGTTTTGCTTTTACTTTGCAGCATACAAAATTAACTTTTGCACTTCTTCCTGCAGAGATGTTCCACAAGTATGAAGTAATGGATTAGAAGCTAGGCAAAATCCCAACCATATGAACCCAAGTTAAAGGATAAAAACAGAGAAGGCAAAGTCTCAGCTAAAACCTCTCATACCCAGCAAGAATTTTTTTTACACTCCCTTTCCCATACCAGGTACACTAAGTTAGTTACATTAACCAACAGATTTTTAAAAAGAGTTAAAAAAAAACCCCAAAACAATTCAAACCAAAAGTAATAAAAACAAAGTTGCATCCACTTTAATCAACATGTCTCCACCTGAAAAAGCCTGAACACAGTAGGCAAAAAGAAAATCCTGTTTCAAGAAAAATGCCATCTCCAATACTCATATAACATGCATCAGAGATTCCCAGGACTGAGCCACTAACACTGTATTCTGCCAGAAAGTTTAAGTATTTTGTAAATGTATTATTTGGTGCAAACAGGATATTGTCAGATCAGCCTGCCTGAAGACCTGAATAAAAAAATTTTAAAACAGTCCTTTTGCATAATTCACTTTTTATGTAAAAACAGTCCACAGGTGGATCACTTCCACTCCTCAAGGCAAAGGTCACAAGCTCACAGCAGTCATAGGGATGACTCTTCAGTCTTCTTTTTTTTTGCCTGCCCACTGGAACCATGCTGCAGATCCTGCCTTTTCTTCTTCTGCTGCTTTAACCTCTCCTCCTTCCTCTGCAGGTACTCATCCATGTTATCAAAGGAGGCCTTGTAGAGGTGGCTGTAGTAGCTCTCTGCACCAACAAAACCTGTAGTTGGGCAAAGCAAGAACACAGGTGTTAATTCCCTCAGTGGTCTCATTGATTACTTCCTGGACTGTAATTTTAGATAGTGGCATTCCAGTTCACTTCCTGTGGTCCTATCCACTGTATCAGCCTTCCAACACCTCAAGGGCCTTCAGGAGAGCTGGAGAAGGATTTTCACAAAGGCATGTAGGGACAGGACAAGGGGAGATGGCCTTAAGCTGAAGGTGGGCAGATTTAGATTAAATATTGGGAAGAAATTATTGACTGTGAGGGTGGGAAGACCTGGCACAGGGTGACCAGAGAAGCTGTGGCTGTCCCTGAATCCCTGGAAGTGTCCAAGGCCAGGTCAGACGGGGCTTGGAGCAACCTGAGATAGTGGAAGGTGTCCCTGCCCATGGCAGGGGTGGAATGAGATCATCTTTAATGTCCCTTCCAACCCAAACCACTCTGTGATTAAATATCAACATTTACACAGTGTAAGCCTGATTTGTGTTGGCAAGCACCTGTTCAGCATCCACCAGCCAGGCACAGCTTCCATTTTTAGGCTAAAAAATTCATTCAGTGTCAAGACCCTCAGAGTGAAGCAAAGAGAGGACACAGCTCTCCTCACACACTGGACACTTACAAACTTCAGGGCTTCTGATTTTGAACTGCTGAAGTTGTTCCCTGAGACCCAAGCACTACAAAGGGAGTTGCCACCTCACTGTGCTTACCTGGCTTTTCTCCTAGAGTATTAACTGAAAAGAAAGACAAAGGAGTAGACTTCAAATAGTGTGTTCAAGTGTGTTCTATAGCACATAGATTCCTAAGCATTTGTTCCAATGGCTTTGTTACACCTTCTGTAAATTCAGGGTAATATTCCTCACAGCATCACTAAAACTGTAGGTTTAGATGAGTTTAGCAGGGAACTAACTGCTATCCAAAAATCCCTAATCAGATTGTTTCTGTAGAGAACATACAATGAGACCAGCTGGCTTGGTCCATATTTCTAAAAAATAGTTGGAATGGCATTGACAAAGCCAGTTATCTCCAGTTCTCACCTTTTCTCACTAAGCAAAATTCACAATCTTTAAAGGACAAATGAAGAGAAATCCAATACCTGCTAAGGTTAGGTCCTGAAGTTAAGTATGCTACTCCACAGAAACCCACATACAGTGTCCCCCTGTTCCTTAGTAGACAAACAAATCAAGTTTCCCTTTGTGGTACCCAGGAAAGCACAAGCTTTCACATTCAGGGGTGTTGCACTCGCACAGGCTTTATTGGCCTTTGGCCCTGGGAGAAATTGCATGCTGCCAGTTTGAAAAGCCATGCTGCTCTCCACTTGATCAGTCTGCACTAAATCCTTTTCTGGGATCAGTTACAGCAGAGTGTCAAACTGTTTAATGTGTACAAGGGGGAATGGCCTCAAACTGAGAGTGGGTTTAGATTCAATACTAGGAAGAAATTCTCCCCTGTGAGGATGGTGAGGCACTTTGAACAGGTTGCCAGAGAAGCTGTGGATGCCCCATCACTGGAAGTGCTCAAGGCCAGGCTGGATGAGGCTCTGACAAACCTGGACTAGTGGAAGGTGTCCCTGATCACAGCAGGGAGTTGGAATTAGGTTGTCTTTAAGGTTACTTTCAACCCAAACCATCCTAGGATTCTGTGATACTTCCAGATCGACCATTGCATCTTCAATCCTACACAAACCTCATACAGGTGAGAAAGTTTATAAAAGGACAATACGCTGGGATTAGGACTGGATTCAAACAATGTAACAATCACTTGTTTCAGAAGATGTAACTACCTTTGAAGCACTAATTATGCACTGGAATAAGTGCTCATCAAGTGAGCCTCCCCTACTAATTAACGATAATGAACCCTGTCATGTGAGCCGTGCTCCTTTCCCAGCTGCAGATGAGCTGGTGACTGCATTTCACACTTGTTTGTTCCACGGGCAAATTATGCCCAGAACCTCTCCCCCTGCCTTCTCTCTTTACTTCTCTGTGCTCATTTTCACTCGCACCTCATCCTCCTAATTATCTGCCTGGCTGTAAATATCAAGTCTGCAACATCTCCATGCAAACATCTCCCTTCCAAAGGAGCACTGGACTTGCAAAGACTGCACCACCTTAATTACAATTTAATGACCAACTTAATGACAGTACATGCTAAACCATCCAGTACCAGATATTAAGGGGACTTTACACCAGACTGAGCATTTGTGCAGCTCTTCCATCTTTATATATAGCCACCATGAACAGACCATAAGACTGGTGGGAACTGTAACACATTTTTAAGGAAGATTCCAGTCTCCCAGCAAAGTACAGGACAGAAATTTCTATGAATGAAGTTTCAATACATACTTGAGATTTTAGCACATGCCACAGACCTTTTCTACCCTGCAGCCACAACCACTGCTACAATTTCAGCTGTGTGTATTTTTATAATATAAAAAATCCTGGAAATAGGGTGCTTCTGAATAAGAAAACTAGGCATTATTTTTTTGACAGAGATTGGGAGTGGGGCAGGAAGCAAGAACATAATGAGCCAGCTCTGACACTAAGCAATGTCATCTGCAGGGTCACACCTTCCAGTCACAGCAGGCACCACATCATCTCCCCTGCCAAGGTGGACCCAACAGCCCATCTTTACAGCAGAGCTGCTCCTCCCACAGCTGCTCCATCCTGACTATCTCCACTGTACCTGTCATAAAGTCTCACACCCAGGCAGGAGACAAGACAACAAACACCAGTATTTGATACCACAGCAGTAAGACAGACTCCAGCAGCTCTGCCAGAGCCTGTCTGGATGCCTCTCTGTGATAAGGTGTCTGTGGAAAAGTTGCAAGGCTGCAATTCAGCTCTCAATACCTACATGGTTCTGTGATAACAGAGCCCTGAACACACTTCATTATCTGCACTGACTTCCACACCAGACAAGAGTGATGACACTGAGAAAAAGACTGAGTGAGTTCAACAGCCAGCTGAACTCACCTGAACTCCAATTTTATGCTCCAATCTACATCTTACGCTTCAGCTGTAAAATCTGCATTCCCCAAACCTTTAGGCCAAATTTCTCACCTTCAAACACTGTCCAGTTGTCTTGAATGCACTTTGACATCTTCTGTAATCTTTTATCATCAGTTACAGCCTGGAAAAAGAAGGAAGGCTGCATGTTATTTTGGGATTAAGATAATTTTATGTTTCACAGCATGCTGAGAAATTCAACAGCCCTCAGAAGAGTGTAGTGAAACAGCAAGTGTAAAACCTCCATGATCTCTTCCAGGCTCCTCTTTTCTAGGACTGTTATTGAAACCTGGCCTGAGGTCTCAAGTTCTGCTAGGAAAGCTTTGCCATTTGAACAAAGAGATCGATTCCCACTTGCTAATCTGCGAGGAAAAGAAATATCTCGGGGAACATGTTAGCATCAAAGAACACACCCAGAAGTTCCATTTAAAACCACTTCACAACCAGACCGTAATTAGCTGGGGACTTACAAGGATAACGAATGAGTTTCCAGTTGTTTAATAGGCAATAAAAGAGAACTTGATAGCACATACCCCAAATTTGATTCCCTGTTCTCACTGAAAATCAAGTAATTCCCTTTACTGTTCCCACAATGCCTTGTCCTACAAAGGATGCCTCAGAGGCAGGCACAAGGAAAGCTGTGTGGAAAGCATTCCTGAGCAAATCCAAAGGGATTTTGTTGGTTTGTGGGTTTTTTGTTTTTTTTTTAATCAAGTAGCCCACAGAAGGCTCAGGCAATGGTTTAAAGTACTGAGTGCTGACAAACACTGATCCTGCTGTGCCAGATGGCAGCTTTAGCTGAGAACACACACTGGTGCTCATAACAAGTTCTTGACACCTTTGCATCATACAGAGGTGAGAAGAATGAGATGTGTATCTAAGGCTTTTACTCCATCTCAAGACAGAGGGAAAGGTGCCTTTTTAGCTTTCATGGAACAGCAAACTCCACTTCTGTTGTGGCCTCAAGACATCATCAAACACAGGATTTTCAGCATTAAAAAAAGTACCTTCCACTGTCCATCACATGCTCTGTACAGAAGAAGAGGAGCTTCCTTGTCTTCCTGAAAAATCCACAGGTCTCCTGTTTCCTCAAATGCAATATCCCAGCTTTTGTGTTTCAGAGAGATCTGCTGTTTGTAAACCAGCTGTTGGGCAGTGGCATCAAGCTGAAAGATGTAGACTGTGGGAATACTTTTGAGAGGAAAAACTTAATTACCATTATTAGCAAATCCACCTACAGCCATCACTTGTACAGCAAACTGCAGACACCCACTCTAATTCCAAACAGAGCCAAAGCCAAGTGGTTAGAATGAGCACTTCAAATGCTGTTTGCTTACATGATCTGAGTCAGAAGCTGTAAATACCCAAAGTGCCAAACAGCTTTTCAAGTGTTATGTGAAAGAAAAAGCAGTCAGTGCTGCCTCCTCTTTAGAAGAAAGGGTAGTAAAGGGAATTTCATAACGATTGCTAAGGACTTTTATGAGGAATGTTGCATTGTGATACAATGGCCTACAGGGCTGCACTTGAAGGAATATACAGCTGAGCACCAGCCAAAACAAAACAGCTCTTGTACATCCCAGCCTTGTGCTTCCTCCACTGAGGGAAAGGCATCACAAACTCTACAAAAATTAACTGAGCCAGGTAACCCTTGCAATCTCCTCTGCACTCAGAGCAAATACAGGACACAGAGGCTCCCTGGGAGGCCACAGGCATTCCTGGACATCTGGAGATCCACAGTACCAAGAAATTCAGGCTCAGGGAAAGTCAGAACAGTCAGCAGGGAAAGCTGCTCGTGACTTTGCAGCAACTTTGATGGTTTTAGGCATTATTGCATCTATTCTTACCTGTCACACAGAATGGCAAAATAACCACCTTGACAGCAGTAGGTTATTCTTGACACGGTGTATTTCTATTAGCAAAAGGAAAAAAAAAATCCTTGTAACTTAAGACCATTTATGGGCAGAAAATTCACATTCCATTTCACTATGAGCCCTTAAAATTTAGCAGATGTCTTAATTTACAGCAGATTAAGCAACTTAATTACCTTCTAACTGCAGTCAAGGTTATTTTTGTATCAGTGCTTGCTGTTTCATGAAGTTTTCTACACTTCTCCCTGCCACACTGTCCAGAGATCAAATGTAAAGGCTTGAGTGAACTACTCTTAGCAGATAAACCAACAGATGAAGGAAAATACACTACCTTCAGACATTCTCTCCTGCAATGCCAGTGGCAAAAACACTGACATTAAGCCTGCTCAGGCAGAGTATCACTCCAGCAGCTCAGATATTACAAACACAAGCTATTAGCTGCTGTTCTGTTTGTTAAAAAATGAAGATAGTGATGCATAGCTAATATCCCTAATATCCCTGCTGTGCTGCCTCTGTTTCAACGTGAGCCTGGGTGAAGCCATCCTGCTCCACAGAAAATGTATTCTGAACAACAAGGAAAGACTGCCTGGGGCCATTTTCCTCATTAAAAAAAAACCCAACAAAACCAACACAACAACAAAAAACCCCACATCACACTCCTAGTTTAGAAGTTACACAGTTTCATCTGTGAGAGAAGAGGCACCTTTGCCACACAAACCATTCTACTTGAAATATAAAACAACTGATTTGAGGCTCCTGGAGTGGGAAGAACTTGAGAAGAGAAAGTACAAAATTATGTCCTGGGGTGCTTTTTCAGAAGTATCTATTATATAATGTGAACAGCAAAACTGCAACAGCAAAAGGCTGGTTCTCAAGTGTGTTTTATAAGCAGTGACAACACCAACACTGCTGATGACTAAAACCTTCCAAGTAGAGAAACAGAGAGTTATTTCCTTCAGGGCAGGGAAAATACATCTTTTTGACACTCTGCTGGCAGAATTCTGATGCATCCTCAAGTCTTCTTGTTTTTTTAACCTCCACTTCTTCCCCTAGCACAACACCATTGACTGGACAGAACCTCTGGTTCACTAAGTCAGGATAAATTTGGGAGTTACCAAGGGATTTTACCCTTGCAGCTACCAGCTGATGTATAGGCATTGTCAGGGTGCTTGTTTTCACAGTTTTGCAATCCATGCAGGAAAGCAAAACAAGTTGTACAGCTTCCAAAAATTCAAGTCAGCAAGTTTAGCACCAGAAGCTAACTATTTTGTCAACAGCACATGATGCAACCACTAAGAGATAAACCAACTGTGGGAAAGAAAATTAATTCATGGTGTAACAGAGTTGAGAACCATTTTTTTTTCTCTAGCACATGAGAAAAATTGTGTGATACAATTTCACAGGGGGAAGCAAGAACAGCATGCACTTTTCACTTATCTCAACCACCTGTTTGGACAGAAGAGGAGGACTTAATTAAAAACATTATCAAAAGGACTGATATGGTTCAGAGCTCCTGGGGACAGATGGGACTGAACTCCTGTTACTCTGCAGAAATATGAAGTTATTAGTCCGTATTTAGCACTGGGACCCAGAACTCCTGATTCACACAGACATAAAAGATGGTTCCAAGTACCAGGTAGGATGAGTGGGCTGGACCATAAAGGTTCTTCTGTAGCTAACGTGGCTAAATGCTGCTTCTGCAGGATGGAGCCACTTATACCACAGCTTTGGAGTAGAACTGACAGCTTCTGTTTACTGTAAGCCATGAGTGGGTTCTTCAGACACTTAAAGGAACAAGCCAAGATATATACATATGTTTGTATATATATATATATATATATATATATATATGTATATAAAAGCTGAAACCTGTGGTATTTATTTCTAATAACAAAGCTCTGCCTCTCTGCCTGTTGCCTGACAAACATGCAGGGAAGTGCCCACCTACACAGCCAAGTGCTTTGTTAGAGAGACAAAGGGTTCTGTGAACTTAAATTAGGCAGCAGCTCTCTCCCAACCCCACTGGAGGAGGGAGGAGGAGGTTGTTTTGATTTAAACCAAGTTTTATTCACAGCTGGAAAGAGACAAGAAAATGCATCTTCTTTCCAAGTTCTTTCCATGTGTGGGTAAGTTAAAAAATCAGCAAAATGAATGCAAGACCCACAACAGTATCGTGGTCAAGGAAGGACAAGGCTATGAAATCAGTTAAGGAAGGGCTACAAGAACAGTCTGTGACAAACAGATGTTCACCTGATACTCTCTGAACTCAAGTCAGTGTTTATAAGACACTGTTATCAGCCTGCCAACACCTTAAAATTAACTTTTGATGTCATCTTTGAGAAGAGGTGACCCTATAAAAAATTAATGTACTAGTGCACTGGGGTAGAGTTGTGCAATTCATGTTCTGGACTTTAAACAAGCTTCTGCTGTCAAGAGGATCAGATGAGGTGAAAGCTCTAAAGCAGGAAAATATTTATACAGCACTATGGAATTAAGAAAATTACTCCCATTCTAGTGGGAAAATGAACTGAGGATCTGTAAGCCATCAGCTGAAACCAATGCTACACTGCTCAAAACACTCCTACATTCCCCAAACAGACACATATTCATCATCTGCCAAGCAAAATAAGCCCACATTTTTGTGCTCACATGGCCCACCATTATTGATGATTCCATCCTCATTGAGCTTCAAGCTGTTTTAAAGCTCCAGTGCATTCATGCTGGCTATCAATGGTAAAAACTGAAATCTAACAATACCAAAAAAAAAAAAAGAAAGAAAGAAAGAAAAAGCACTTATATCCCCATCTGATCCCTGGCTGCAGAGTCCTGTGCTTGTTACAGACTGTAAAGTGCTGACTCAAGAGATTGTGTCCTTAAATTCAGACCACAAATGTCACTCTGGGTGTGGAGATGATCTGTGACATACCTGGATGCACAGCATGACTAAACACTGTCACCAGATGTCACCTCTGGCATTTCTAGCACTATGATGCCAGCAGAACAAAAGTCTCCTTTTCAGTGCAGAACACCTATCCAGTATCCAGGATTTCACAGATTCAAGTCACAGGCCACCATGAGGTTTTCTTAGATCAGTCCTACCTGCTGCACCAATTTTGTTGACATTTTTTAGTTTAGCCAATGCTACATTCAAGCTTTATTATACAGTTTAACACTACTTTTTTGATTAGCTTGTTTGTAATCAGTGAATTAGGATTCAGTGTAAGATCAAGCACTGCTACTTTACACACAAGCCATCTTAACAATGCTAAGCCAGTCTAAGCAACAAATAGCATTTTTAATATTAATTACAGAATTTCCCAGTTCAGTTACTTGCTTACTTGTCTTCAATGATCCTATAAATCTAGAAGGCAAACTGTTTTAAAATAAACTCATGATTCCCTCTAAAACAAATGCTCAAATCCTGCTGCACCCACAGTATCAGTGGATACCAGTTAGATGGGCTTGTCACTCCATCTTGTACCGTTTTCACTTGTCAAAAAGCCCAAGAACAGCTTTTTCAAAGATTCCAAGCACTGGTATCAAGCTGAAATGTGGCAGAGATCTTGTGAATGTGTGTGGGGTGTGTAGCTCAGGTGTGTTTTCAAGAAGACTCTCAAGTCCAAGATTTCCAGTATCTAAATGGAAAGCTGTGATGAAAGTGGCTCCCCAGCTGTGGGGAGGTAAAGCACAACACACTTCCACTAGCAAAACCACAACACAAAGGAGGGAAAGCAGAAGTTTTCAATTCAATTTCTGCCTGGATATGGATTCCATAGTGGATTTTCCTCAAGACCCATGCCTGGCTTCCCAGTCACCTGACAACTGGGAGGCAGCTGTGATCTGCAAGGAAAGTGTTTTTAGAGATCAACATGAAAAATCACATGCAGCAGGATGGGTGGTGAGGTGGACCAAAATAACCCAGCAGATGAGTAGGTGGTTTAATTCCATGCACACAGCAGGGACAAGGACAGTGCTATTTCACTGCTAATTGGTCTTATGCCACGTTAAATGACAAAAAAAAATAAAATTAAACAAAACTAGATTTCAAGCACTACCAGAACAACTGCTCACATCAGGTGAGCATCTCAAATCACAGCAGCACCCCAAACTTGTGTGTGTGAGACTGCTGATGTACAGGCTGGAAGCTCAGGAGAGCTCTTGGAGTGTTCAGTTTTCAGGTAGGACTCACACTTAAATTTTGGACACTGTCCAGCTGCAAGAGAAGCTAAAATAATAAGCCAACGTTTTGACTCCACAGGGCACTACTGCAGGTCACTGGTTAAAAATATTACAATGCTTCTTTTTGCTCAGGAAAATTGTAACTTTAACACTTAACATCCTAAGCATTTTTTAGAAATGGGTGAATGTTTAAATCTTCCCAGTCTCACAGGATGTTTTCTGCCTAGAAGACTACAACAACTGTGGTTTTGGAAAAAAAAATTTCTAGCGAAGGCTTTGTCCACTGTGCAGAACTTAAATTTGGGAAGAATTAGAAGCAGCTTCTTTTGGTCACTGCATGGCACATTTTAGAAATTCACACAAAACACAGGAATGGATTTCAGAGACTGTCTTCCCAAAATCCCAATTACTGTAACAGTTTTTTAAGTTCTAAACCCAGTGACAGAAGGGAAGCACTTCTAACAAAATGCAACCAACACGTTTGGCAGTCCCAAGGATCAGGAGCACAGCAAAAGCACTGGCACACATGGACACACCTGGTCTGGTTTGGTTGCCTGAGACCCACAGATGGTACTCAGCTGACAGCAGTGCACTTCTTCTCCACTTTTATATTCCCAGAGTCTCAGAGTGGAGTCCTGGACAGATAGAAATGGACACAAGGCTATTACTACCAGCACTCAGGCAAAGAAAAGGCACTCCTGGCCTTCAGCTAAACCCTGTTTCCCTGAAGAGCTCCCCACAGAAACTGCTAAATAGTCACTTAGTTAAGACCTCAAATTGCAGATAAAGCATTTTAATTAACATAATTTCCCCCTGCATTCTAAATTATTCAATCATGCTAATTTTAATTCTCCCTTTGAAGTGGAAATTGGGTAGCTGGAGGAGGGCATTTCAAGCCTGTCTCCAACAGCACAGTCATGTATGTGCTCAGCATTTTAATGGCAATTCTTTCAGGCTGCCCTTCTCTGCCCCATGCTCCTGTTATCAACCAAATTCTCATTTGATTTAGCAACCTCCTGAAGAGAGACTAAACACCTCTCTGGAAAAACAAAGCCAAGAGCATTTGCTAAGAGCAAAATACAGCCATGTGCAGCACTAGCATTAGAGCTGTTTCAATAATTAGAGGGACAAGAGCCTTAGGGAGGCAAGAATAGCAGCTGAAACTAAATGCCAGGAGTTACTGTGATCTTCACAGGAAACATTATTTGTTTCTTGTGCAGTTTTGGTAGTCTGGGGAACAAAGAATATTGTTTCCCTTCTTTAGGCCAACTCCATCTCTGTACAGGTGTGGTATGGCAGCAGCATCCATCAGTTCAGGAAAAGGGATGGGGAGAGAAGGGAGGGAACATTAATTTCTACAGTTCTCATCCAAGCAGACAATGTCTGTCAGAGCAAGAGTTAAGGATAATTTCACCATCCCAAAGATGCCTTTTACTATAACCACAGTAAAAGGTTCTTATGTGATCCAGCAACAGACTGGCTGAACACTAAACAGAACCAAGAAAAAGGGGGCAGAAGGATGAGGGAGGCCATGCCATAAACCATGAGAGATTATTTCAAATATTCCAAGGAATTTGGCCAAAACACAAGCATAAATAATAACAATAAAACCCAAACATACAAAACAAACCCCCACATTTTTCTGGAGAAATTGCAATACTTACCCCAGAAGCTGACAACAGCAGGTCAGGACAGTTGGGTATTACAAGTATTTTGCTTACAAACCTAAAAAAAAGCAGTCAGAAGTTGAACTCTCTTGCGTGACACTCTGGTCTTTAAACACACATAGTAAGAGAAAACAGAAGTTTTGAAGAGAACTTTACAATAAACAAACAGATTTTCCACATCAAGATAATTAGGAGGAAGAAGAAAATGCCATCAGTACTTAGTAAATATGCACTACACAAATTACTGACTTTCTACTTAATAAAGAACTACATTTCCCCATTTGCACTCAGGGAATTCTACTGACTTCCTCCCAGCTGAGAACATTGTCATTTAGATCAAAAAATGCCAACAGAGACAGATTTCCTCAGGTAGCACAGTCCCCTTTCTCAGGTCATGACTCACATTAAAAACATGAATCAACAGATCCTTTAAAACACAACGGTGATGGCTCAGCCTCCAGAGTGCCACATCTCTCCAGCCACAGTTGGGAGATCATTTAAAAGCAATCTTTACACAATTGAATGTGGCAATTTACCACTGCCTACACTGAGCCAGAATTTCTGTTTCCCAGATGCTGGTGATCCTGCTTTGTCTTTGGTGAGCAATGAGGACCTGAACTTCTGGGGATCATTGTTATCTCAGAGCTCATCAATCTCAAATACAGTGACCTGAGCAGAACACGACCTGAATGGGACAGTCATGCCTTGGAAGACAGGCACAGCTTTAAAGCTATAGAGTAACAAAGTAAAGGGAAGAGATTTGGTCACTGCAATACAAACTTCCAGGACAAAGTAGGCACAAGAGATCCAGCAAGAATCACCATGAGCCCCACTGCAAGAAGAAAATCCAAAACTGTGAAATGAGGCAATTATTGCTTTATGTAACCCTTTTTTATTAATTTGAAATTTAAGTATTGAATTTTTGAGTATATTTCAAGTAATTTGCACCGCTTTTCACTCTGCAACCACTAATGAACGCTTCCAGGGATGGGGCATCCACGACTTCCCTGGGTAACCTGTGCCAGTGCCTCACCACCCTCACAGTAAAGAGCTTTTTCCTAATATCTAATCTAAACCTACTCTCTGTCAGTTCAAAGCCATTCCCCCTTGTCCTGTCACTCCAAGCTCTTACAGACTCTCTCCATCTTCCTTGTAGGCTCCCTTCCTTAAATGTATTTCATAGTGCAGTCTCCATGCTCTATCCATCCTGGCGACACAGCCAGGTTCTTTTGTATTACCATAGAACCTACAAGTCTGAGTTCTGCATTGAGATGACATAAATTTAATTAACACGTTCAAACCTCGAAAGACAGTTCCTAAGACTTCTCTTCCTAAGACTTGAGATAGGCTCCATCCTGAGCTACCAATTTCTGGAGCCACTTGTGACCAGCATATGGAGGGAGATGATTCTGCTCCTCTCCTCTGCTCTGGTGAAGCCCCAGAGGAGGTTGTGTCCAGCTCTGGAGTCCTGGGGACAAAAAGGACAGAAGGACCTGTTGGAGCAGGTCCAGAGGAGGCCACAAAAACAAGCAGAGGGCAGGAGCACCTCTGCTGTGAGGAAAGGCTGAGAGAATTGGGGGTTGTTCAGCCTGGAGAAGAGAAGGCTCTGGGCAGACCTTACTGCAGCCTTCCAGTACCTAAAGGGGTCTTATAAAAGAGATGGGGACAGACTTTTTTAGACGGACCTCTTCCAATAGGAGAAGGGATAATGGCTTAGAACTCACTGTAGACTCAGGCTAGATATAAGGAAGAAATTTTTTTAAAAGGAGGTTGGTGAAACACACATTGTGTAGAGAGTTGGTAGAGCCCAATCCCTGGAATCATTCAAGGCCAGCTTGGACAGAGCTCTGAGTAACCTGATCATGCTGAATTTGTCCCTGCTCATGGCAGGGGGGTTGGACTGGATGATTTTTAAAGGTTTCTTTCCACCCAGGCCATTCCATGATTCTACCATGACCAAGCTGTTGTTTAATGTGATTTGAGGAGAAGATTTCACCCACTGAGAGGGGATGAAGGTGGCTGTGCAGGGAATGGCTGCACAGAATGGCTCTGGCACAGAAGTCACTCACTCTCTGTGTCCCATGCAGTAGGATACAATACTGTAGGGAGCCTTTGTCAAGCTGACTCTGATCTTCTCATCTCTGTCTGCAGTCAGGATATACTGGTCATCAGGACTCAGGGCCTGTTGGGAAAGGGACAGCTTTAGTGCCCAGAAATTCAAAGCTTGAAATTCTTCTTAACTAAGAAAAAAAATGATCTCCTCACCCCAAAAGACAGGTACAAACACTAAGACACTCTTTTCCACCAACAATGGAAGTGTTGATCTTTGTGACTGTAACTTTCTCACTCACTAAGACAAGCAACACTGACTTCCAGGTCCAGTGAAAGCCACTGAGCCTCAACAATACAGTTGCAAGACCCCTTGCATCTTAAGAAGAAACTTATCACGTTCAAGGGCTCAGCTGACATGGCAGAGTGGATGAAATCACACAGACACTCTGTCACCAAGACTTCTGTGTCTGCAACATGAAGACTTTTTCAACACTTATAAACTTTATGTTGCCTTACCAAACTCTGCCAACACAAACTCAGTAGGAGAAATCTGGACCACATTTCATTTATATAATTAAAAAAAAAAAAAAAAAGCAAACCACAAATCTGGGACAAGAGCAACGAGACCCAAGCACAAGCAGGAATGCAGGTTTGTAAATACACAGAGACAGACACTTACCACATCCAATAGCAGAGAGACATGACCCAGCTCAAGTTTTCCATCTGCTTGAGGTTCTGTTATTGAGTAAGAATAGACATCACCAGATTTATCTGCAATAAAAATCTTATCCTCTGCAGCTGTGATAACCAGGGATGTGCATCTCCTGTTCACAAACCTGAAAGACAAATGGCACAGCTTGAACAGCTCTGGATGGCAGCTTCAGCAAGTCTGGAAGTTAAACAGACCAAGAGGCTGGGCAAAAAGTTCTCAGATGCAACATTACTAAAATGGCAGTGAGGGGAGTAACATTATGGGGCTGAAATAGCACTTCTGAGTCTAGTAAATGAGTGAATTATGTAATAGCAAACACCTGGGGTGGGGAGAGGATCAGGAGACCATTAAAAGCTGCATGACTGCATTTTGCTTTGGTATTTCCTCAACTGAGCACCTCATCCAGGCAGCATGCCAGGACTCTAATGAAGGCTGGTAGACTTCCTTGCACTCTACATCATAAAAACAGGAGTTAAACACATGGAAAAGACAAGGTAGGATTTGTCCTATTAGGAGTCCTTCGCAGCAACACTTGTAAAAACTGTGTAGGAACTACTCCTCCAGTGCCACTCTGTACTGTAAAGGGAAGCCCTTCATGGAGAGCCTTGGAACTCTTCTCTTCATAGCCCAAGGCACAGAGCCACAGGCTCTGTGCTCCCTGTCCAGACAAAGCTCTGAACCTGAACCCTGAGTTCCCCTCATCATCTTCCATCATCTCACAATTCCAGCTGCTAGTCTAGCAGGTTTCTTAAAACTACTCAGATAAACATAAGGACCACAGATGCCAGAAAATACATCCTGTGTGTCAGCACAGGACTGTGGGCACCAAGGATCATAGGAAATGGATATTGATATTCAGCTACTCTGAAATTCAGTGGCCATGTGGAAGCAAGAGGACAATCCACTATGATTCAGGTAGGAAAAAAAAATTACCAGACTTTTTACTGGCTGTTTAAAGGAATACCACAACAACACAACAGGCAACACAGTTCCAAAAAGGGTTACATTGTCAACCAGAAAGTCTTACTCCAAGCTCATTGTACCACCTGTGATCCTGAGCACAAAGATTCAAAAATCCCCCTCTGTCTGACACAAACTGACTATAAAGGCCAGCAGTGTGTGAGACTTTTATACACCTTGCCACAAAACACCAGCACAAGCCACACAGCTCAAACATTGGCATTGTTATCCATGCAGAGAGCCTTTTGCCTGTATTCCCAGTTTCCCAATACGAGGTAATGACATTCCCAAAAAAATCCAGCTGTGGTCCTAGTTAAACTTTCAGCAGAAACTAAAATACCTAACAGTTATCCAGTGGCATGTTACAGGCAAGACACACAAGGCAGGGCAGCAGGGGAGACAGGACACAGAATGAACAGAATTGGACACTGCTGGTCTTGTCATAGAACATCCTGAGTTGCAAGGATCATGGAGTCCAACTCCTGGCCCTGCAAAGGACAGCCCAACAATCCCACCCTGTCCCTGAGAGTGTTGTCCAAACCCTTGGTGCTGTGACCACTTCCCTGGGGAGCTGTTCCAGTGCTCAATCACCTAGGATGAAAAACCTTTTCCTAATATCCAACCTAAATGTCCCCTGGCACAGCTTCAAGCCATGACCACTTCTTCACTACAACACTGTTTAACCCCAAGGGTCCATCCTGTATCCTACACACAGAGCCAAGCTACAGAGACTTGAGGTTTTTTTTGCAACCAGGGTCTCATATTTGTTAGAGATCAACAGAAGCAGAGATGTCATATGCTCAGGAACTTTCTCAGGAAGACCTTCACAGTCCTGGTTTTCCATAGAGAATTGTCACAAGCAGCAGCAGAAAACGTGGAACTGGAGGACCTCTGGTGGACAGCTACAGGCTATTTCCTCAAGAGGAATGTACTGAAGAAAAGGAGCTGCAGCATCTCTGAAGATGTGCTTTTTGAAAAGATCACAACTTTTTAGAAAGTTCACAAACTCCCCAAAACTCCTCTAAATCAGAAGGAATAGAGAATGCACTCACTGAACTGCTTGGCATCACTCTTACAGGCCCAACCCCACTGTAGCAAGAGTGGGTAAAGTTTTAGCTCTTAAAGATAGAAAACACTGGGTTTGGAATAAGGAAAGAAATTATCCTTCCTTGGACATCTGCACTCCCATTCTTGGTGAGGGGAAGACTACATATCAATGCTTGACAAATACACTGAATTCCCAAAAACATTAAATGTGAGCGAGGGAATTTTTAAAAAATAAAATCAAAAAGGAAGCCAAGTAATAACAAACATCAACATCCCAAATACTCCCATTTTAGAACTCAAAATCCATCAGCCATAACTCCATAACAGAATGCACCATCCTGCTTCCTTACCTGACACTAACACATTCCCAGGAAGGCTTGGTATGGAACAGAATCAGGCGCTTGTTGTCATCTGTCAGGGCAAAATAATCTCCTGATGGGGAGAAGGCAAAAGCCAGGATGTCATCACTTCCTTTATCTGTCCCTTTTCCATCCTGCCTAATAGAGAGAAGGGGACCAACAGTTCAAAACCTGATAGCTACTGAATTCCCTGAGGAGATTGTTCCCAAACCACCAGGAGCGTGAGGAATAAAGTAAAACCTTAAATGCTTTTATTTCTGCATAAAATGTTGAGCCAGCATGGACATTAATGCAAAGAAATAAGCCAAGACAAGAAACTGATAGAAGGTCTAACCCTGTATCAAAACCTGTTTAGAAAACAAAAGTTTGTGCTGGCATATATTGATATTAATCATGAGGAAAACAGTAAAATGTTTCCTGTTTGGCTACAAGTAAAACAATGTCCAGTGGTTGAATCTAAGCTAAGAAAAATACTTTTTTGTGTGTGTTTTGAACTCTCATGACCTAGAGAGTAGAACTTATGTAAGTGCTTTGTGGGTTTTTTGGTCTTAGATGCCTAACAAAAAATGCACGACTTTTCCAAAAATGTCTTGATGGACAAAAGAAAAATATTGATTTTGCCACTGCTGTTTCTCTGGGGGAAAAAAAAAAAAAAAAAAGAGAAAAAGGTGCACAGTGGAATGAAACTCTGGGCAGGAAAAAAAAAAAAGAATAGATCCATATATATCCATCAGGATTAGCAAAACCAACCCATCACCTGCTCAAGGAGTTACCCTGTTACCTTCTTTTACTGCCTTCACTGCCACGCAAACTCAGGAGATGTCCCCTCTAGGAAAAGAACAGATTTTCTCACCCTTTCTCTCCTAAGGGCTGTTTCTCTGCACTGCTGCAATCGTACACGAAGAGACTCTCATCACTGCAAGGGAAAAACAAACCTAAAATTACTGACACTAGAACAATCAGGAGCTTAACTGAGAAAAATGGCAGCTCTTTTGTAAGATGCTCTTACTTCAAAGTTATTTGCACAACTGCCCCCCATCTTGAGGAACCACGTCTGCCCGAGTGGGCTCCCAAAGTGTTATAAAGGCAGCAGAAATTTATCATTCTGGACAGTATGCACATGTTAAAAAAGAAATCTTCCTCTGCTGGTGAAGTAACCCTGTATTTGCATAAACCTTACTTCTGTCAGTCTCAGCACATGTGTCAGTAGCATTTACCCAGTCACAGAATCACAGGATGGGTCAGGTTGGACAGGACCACCGCAGGTCTTCTGGTCCAACCTCCCTTCTCAAGCAGGGTTATTCCAGAGCACATGGCACAGGATTGTCCAGATGGTTCTGGAATACCTCCAGTGGGGAAGACTCCACACCCTCTCTGGACAATCTGATCCAGTGCTCAGTCACAGCACAATAAAAAAGTTCTTCCTCATGCTCAGGTAGAACTTCTTGGGCATCAGTTTCCACCCCTTGCCTCTCGTCCCATTGCTGGGCACCTCTGAGCAGAGCCTGGCCCATCTCCTGACACCTCCCTTCAGATATCACACAGAATCTCAGAATCACCCAGGTTGGAGGGATCTCTGGAGATGACCCAGTCCAACCCCCTGCCCAGGCAGGGCCACCCAGAGCAGTGACACGAACACATCCAGGTGTGTCTGGAATGTCTCCAGAGAGGGAACTCTGTGTCCTCCCTGGGCAGCTGCTCCAGAGCTCTGCCAGCCTCAATGGGAAGAAATCCTTCATTGTGTTGAGGTGCAACTTCTTGTGTTTTATGTTATGGCGTTGATCCTCATTCTGGCACTGGCCAACAGGAGTTGAAAAGAGTCTGGCATCATCCTCTTGGCACCCACCTTGGAGCTATTTATATGCACTTTCCTTACAGACATAAAATAGACCATTATTACATATGTGTGCATACATATAAAATAATGCTGTATACGTTCTATGCATTTATAGCTTTACATATAATGTTATACATATACATATAATACATGTGCTATATATATGTTATATATATATATACATATACATAACATATATACGTATATATGTTATATATATACGTATATATGTTATATATATATGCTTTCTATAAATTATGTACACATATAGTGGTGGGTATATATATGCTATGTATATGTATAAAAAACATGTACGTATATATGTGTGTGTGTACATACATAGGTGTATATATATACATAAATATATATATAAAATCTCTACACTATATATAGTCTAACTAGGGGAGCACAACCGTGAAAGAAAACCGCCAAGGCTCCGAAGTTTAAAAGTGACGTTTCTGTAACAGAAAACGCTGACGAGGGGCCCGGAAAAGCCCGAACCAGCGGCTCCTGCACTGCCTCACCACCTCCCCTCACCACACACGGGCCCCTGCGAGCCCCCTCAGGGGCCACGGGCGGCCTCCGCCGCTCCGACCCGCCAGGCCCGTCCGCGCCCCGCCCCGCACCGCCCCGGCCCCGCACTGACCCGCTGTGCCCGGGCCGCGCCGCCAGCAGCCGCCCCCCGCCGCTCGCCACCGCCGTGGCCCCGCTCAGCGCCAGCGCCGGCCGGGACCCCGGGCTGCGCCCGCCGCCATCGCCGCCCGCCATGCGCCCGCGCCGCCACGTGCGGGATGGCGTCACCGCGCCCCGCGTGACGTCACCCCGCGCCGGCCCCACCCACCGGGAGGCCGCGGGGACGCCGTGAGGGCTCCGGGCAAGATGGCGGCGGCCGCGGCGCTGAGGGGCGGCGGGCGGGCGGTGAGCCGCGAGGTAAAGGGGCTCCTCGGGGCGATTTCCTGCCCTCACACCCCCCCAGCTGTCGGGGTTTCCTCCCGCTCTGTTGACTCTTGTTATGTTGTGCCGTGCAGGTGTTGCAGCTGGAGGCCCGGGGGCTCTGCACGAAGCCGGTGGGCACCGGGACGGCGCCGCCCAAGAGTAAGAGGGTGGTTTGGTTGTGAGGGTATCGGGGTATCAATAAAAGGAACGGGTGAGGAGAGCTGGGGAATGGTCACGCCTCGGAAGAGGCGCTGCATAAGCTGGGAAAAACAAGGACTGAAAGGTCACCGCCATGTAAACGAGGGTTTCTGATAAAATCTACTGTATAGTAATAAAAGTAAAAAGTAAAGGTTTGGCTGTGTGGAATATATTTGTAAACTATATATATCTGTATATACACGTATATAGCTTTATGAGCTTGTCACTTCTTTCCTGTTTACCTATATATACACATATATTGTTATATTTTTATGACCTTGTCACTTCTTTCCTGTTTCCCTTCGCCATAATATTCAAGGCCAGGGTGGATGGGGCAGTGTCAGACTATTCAATGTGTTCAAGTGGCTTCAAACTGACAGAGTAGGGTTAGATTAGTTACCAGGAAAAAATTCTTTACTGTGAGGATGATGAGGCCCTGGCACAGGCTGGCCAGAGAAACTTGGATGCCCCATCCCTGGAAGTGTTTTTAATGAGGTGCAAAATCTAGTTTTTAAGTTTAGATGTCTGCCCTTGTGCTTTGAAATGTTTATGTTATCAGGGTTAAAAAATAGAAGGACTTAGAGAAGGACTTCCAAGATCCAAATATCCCAAATAGCAGCTCCAGGCAGCAGTTTAAGAAACTGCCATGGCCCTGCTGTGTTAAATTTGATTATAATGCTTCTTGCCCTATAGATTTGCAAGCCTGAACCTTGATTTGGATGCTGCCCTGCATCCCACATTGAGGAGTATTTGAACCCTTTTTGTCCCTGATCAAAGTCAAAACAAGAACATAAATTTCAAAGACTGATGCTTTGTTTGTATAAGTGGAGGCTCACTGGTTCAGTGAGGTTTCCTGTCCCAAATTAGAGATCCAGGTGCTGAAACAGGAAAGCTCCATGGAACCATATGTAGGAGTGATCAGACTTGTTGACTGCTGTTGAAAAGATCACTGAAAGAGTACTCGAAGGCAGACTTCTGCCACCTTCTTAAATGCCAAAGCAAATAGGAGCCTGGCTGTTCCATTAAGAAAGCCTTCACTGCATAGATTGTTTGAACAGCAGCTTGCTCTTTATTATGATTTACTTTTTTTGCATTAAGTGTATTTGAGATCACTTTAGTATCAGTTTCTGGATCCACTGTCCTGCAGCTCTGATTTGTGTCAGGAGCCCTCTCTGGCCAGCTCTCCCAGCCAGCTGCTTCCCCTGCAAACACTCCAGGTTAGTTAAGATGTATAGGATGCAGCTGCCTTTGCCAGATTCTGGCTGGAACAGGATGTGCAAATTTTCCTTGCTTTGACAAAATTGTCATATTTACATACAGAGGCAATGATGGGAAATAGACCTTTAATTTCTGCCTGTCACCTCTCTGAGTGTGAACAGGCTTTAACATGCTGGGAATGATGCTGATGTTCCAAGCATTGGGAAGAACACATCTGGGAATTATATTTCTGTGACTGGTTTGGATGTGTTGTTCTTTTTACCAAATGATGCAGGTACAGATTAGCTGGTGAAAAGTTTGAAATACCCTAATGAAAGTGTATCAGTTGTGTTAGATGTTTCAGCTTTTAATCATAAAGTCTGTCTTTTTCACTTATCCAGACTTAACTGTTTAAAGTATTATTCCAGTAACAAATGGTCAAGTTGAATTTTCCTTGCCTTCTTGATTTCTTAGAATGCTTTAACATTAATACTTCTTCAGGTTTTGCTCAGCTTTCCCTTGTCTGTCCTCTCTTTGGCCATTCTTGTGTTAGTTTAACCTCTTCTACACCTCTCTGAAGAACTCTTCCATCCTGAGTGATGCTTCCTCACGTGTTAGTTTCTCCAGGCTGCTGTTTGGCTGGGTCAGTCTGTGCAGGGAATCAGACCTCTTCCAAAGGTGGCTGCCCATCCTCCTGCCTCCCCCTGCCCTTCCTTCCCATCCTGCACCTTCCATCTGGCAGAGAGAAGTATGTGCTTGTAATTATTCAAAATACTACCTGTAAACTTGATACCTTTTATTCATTGTATTTTGTTATGATAAAAACTCTGTGTTTCTTTCTTAAATACTTTGCTTTTGTTTTCATGTGCTTGTCTCTTCTGTGATGTTTTCATTTAGACATTGCTAAAAACTTGCTTCTGTTCAGAACTAATGGTAATAACTCCTTGAATCATAAAAGGTGTTACTATAAAATATCAGTGAGGGGAAAACTGTATCTAGTGTATGGGCATATAAAGTAGATCTGGATTTCCAAACTCTGCAGAAAAATCTGCACAACGGGCTGGAAATCTGTTGAATTTTGCTGCAAGTTAGAAGTAGTGCAACTTGTAGTGGAGTTGGCTTTGCTATAGCAAATTTCAGCCATGGTGAATCTTCTCCTGTTTTCTGTGACTACAACAGTATTTGCTGTTGCTCAGCCTCTTGAGGATGATAATAAGGATCCAAGGGGTATTACATATTCTTTGAAAGGACTTGAAAATTGCTGCCTTCTCCTTCAACGCTTGGGCTGGAGAGTTTAGCTTAATGCAGGTATCCACAAGGGAGAAGAAACAGACAGAAACAAACATGAAGCATCAGGAGATCTTCTTAGACCTTTTTAACAAAGAGGTCTCAAACCAGAAATAGGAAGTAAAGACTGGGAGAAATGAGGTCTTGGGGAAATAGTGTTGAACTGTGGGGGCACACCTCAGCTGGCAGCTCAGGTGGGCAATGAACAAGTAATACTTTCATGGATGGCCTCAGGTATCTCTTACTCTGCTGCTTTGCCTTTTGGGAGTCATCCCTCCCTCCTACTTCCCAGATGACTCTTGCAAGCAGCTGTGGCTGTGTCTCTTTACTGTGTCTCTGCTACGCTGGCTTGTTCACAAACAAGTGTTTTCTCTGCAGCAGCATTTGAAGAGCTTGGCTAACAAGCCATCCTAGTGCTCACCTGAGATAGGGAGGTGTCTGCAAACCTTCTCCAGTGATGCAGAGTTGAAGCACAGGGAAAACCAGCTCTTGGAGGAGTCTGGCAAAGCGAGGAACATAAGGGCTCATCTCCTGAATTTTGGCATTGCAGCAGCAAAAACTGTGTTGTGCTACTAGAACTCCAGTTTCTTTAACTTAAAAAGTCTAAAAGCTTTCTGCTTTGCAATGCCTGTATTTAGCATTATAATTACTTTCAGTTTATTTTTGTACCAGATTATCTCTGAAAGTTAAAACTGTATGACTAAGATCAGTAACAGCCATGTGAGATACAATGATGATAATCCTCTTTATGCCGTTTCCTAGATGTAGTGGCACGACAGGGAAGCACCAAGCTGCTTGCCATGAAGGCACCAGTTGAATTTCGTAAAATGTTGTCTTCTAGCTCTCTCCTGCTGTCTGCAGACAAAGGTGAGAGCATATCTAGTACCAACCTCAAGGAAGATGCAAAACCTGCTGAAGGCACGAGGATGTCCATGTCAAGAAAAACTGAGGTTGCATTTCCTCAGCGAGGAGTTGCTTCCTCCCGTGAGGAGGAAAACCTCACCACACCTGCAAGAGGAGGAGGCCTGAGGAAAGAGTTAGCTGAGGAACAGACTTCGTCCAGCTCAGAGTCAGATTCTAGCTCAGATTCCGAGGATGAAAATGTTAGTGATTCAGAAGTTGCCATTAAAACTAAAGTGGAGTTTCCCAGACGATATCCCATCCTTTCTGAGAACATAGCAGTAAAGGCATCAGTGCTGGCAAAAGAGAAATTGTCCGAGAAATCCCTCAAAGAATATGGAATTAAGAAGCTGCCACGTAAACCAGAAATTAACTTGGCTCCTGTAAAGCAGGTCAAATTTTCTAAAACATCAGTCAGCCAGGAAACATCAAAATCCAAAGCAAGAGACCCCAAAGCAAAAGCCATTCCAAAAGAGCAGAAGTTGGTCTTAGAACCACGTGTGGTGAAAAGTCTAGACCTGACCGATGTTAATCATAAATCTGATCCTGTGGAGAAGTCCATTGGAACCCAGGTAGCAGCTATTCAGCTGAAAGCCTCAGCAGTGACTCAGGAAGGCAACAAGCAAAATCTGATATCCAGAGGAGAGAAGGAAAAGGTGAAGGAGGCACAGGAAACAAAAGAAGTAACTGCTCCTAAAGTGGAAGAGACTTCTGGAAGCACAGTGTTGGTGATGGGCACCACAGCAGAGGAGGAGACCACACAGGAAGCAGGAGTCCAGGCTGGAGAAAGCAGCACAGTAGAGGGTACAGCTTTAAATTGTTTGAACTGTATTGATTCATCTGGGCTAGGGTTGGACTTTTTAAAGGGTTTCCACATCATCTCTGATCTTTGTACTGAAGCTGGCAGAGTGGCAGTGACTTTCTGGAAGATAAATTGTTGTTCATTGCTAATTATTATAAGCTGTCAGTAATACTCAGTCTCCAGCTATGCTGTGAAAGGAAGTGGTTTCATTTCTCTGTATTTATAATTTCATAAAACAGTTACTTATAAAATGGAAACAAGATTGTTTCCACTGTGGAAACCATGTGTTTTATATGACAACACTTGTTTTCATTCTTCTCTTTTCTTGGAAGGATTTGGTAGCTGCCATTCTCATGAGTCAGGTTTGATGCCATCTCATTGTTGCTTAAATCCTGCCATCTTTCTAGTTTTATTTTGGGTTTTTGGGGGGTTTGTTTTGATGGGTTTT